AAATTATTAATATTTTTGACTTTATTTTTTATTTAAATGATGATAGTGTAAGGGATCGTTTATAAATTACGTACGCTCGGAGGAAAAGAGGGGGTTTTTCCCTCCGAGCGTACGTTTTTGCTCTTTCCATCCGAGCGTACGTACTTTATGGACGCGTACGTACGAAAAAAAACGTGCGTACTTTATGGACGACCCCTAATTGAAACTACATGTAGTTGCAAATCTGTTCCAAGTAATAATGTCAACATGTTTGCACATATATTGTTAAAAGAATTTCAATTTTTTATTAAAACTTTTAAAAAGCTTTACATGTCTTGTTTAACTTACTTTAAATAAAAGTTGCAGAGGTTCTTTTAACATTTAATTTCTTTTTTTTTTTACATTTTCTATTTGAAAAAGTTAGCATTTAAATGATAAATTGAAGATATCATCTTAATTTTTAACGATAAGGTGAAGATGCCACCTTTACTTGTCCAGTATAAAATAACTGAGATTATACAATTAACTTATGAGAAGTAAAAAAGTTAAAAATATTTTTTTTCGGGGTACTATGAAGTTATAAGTGCTCTTAAAGCATGAGATCGAAAAAATGAGAAGCGGAAACAACTTTTAAACAAAAATAATAAATAAACAATAATAATATTTCAATCAAGTAATGATAGTACTTGTAAAAAAATTAATTCAAATTATTTTTTATTAAAATGTCATCTAAAAAAAAAATCGTGCATACTCATTAAGAAAATCCATCATTGAACTTCAAACGAGTTTTAAAAGACTTCTAAAATTTCTATATCCAAAGTTAGAAGGGTTATAAAACGATATTAAAAGACTTTATCCATCAAACAAATTAAAGGAGCGGAAAGTAAAAAAAAAATTAACAATAAATTAGTGTTAAATAAGATTCGTTGTTCTTTTGAAAGAAATTTAGGCTTGTCTAACAGAGAAAGAGCTAAAAAGTACAAAATTTTTTATTTTTGGATAAAGAAAGTGAAGAAATACTACAATTACAAGACTTTCCGAGCAATTAAATACATATTGTTCTGACAAACAAAATTTCACTGCCGAAATACGAGCTTAAAAACCTTGCATCCAAGTTTTGTTAAAATTAAATGGCTTCATTTTGATGGACAACTTACATAAAATGTGACTTTAGTCAACTTTCTGGTGACAAAGATTATACTTCAGTTGTTCGTGGCAATGTAAGTAACAAAAATAAATTCAAGCTTTTGGACAAAAATGGTAAATATTTTATCTTATGGCAAGCGATTTGTAGTTGTTGAAAAAAGAGTAAAGTAGATGTCAACATCAACATTAATTTTGACATCAGAAATTTATACTGAAAAGTGCCTTTAAAAGCGATTTTTTCCATTCATTCGATCGCACGCTAGGCCTTGTTTGTTTGCAACTACGTTAAAAAAAACTTTTTGCTAAAAAATCTTTATCCACCAAATTGCCCACAATTCTGGCCCATCATAAAAATTGTGGGGTATTGACAAATAATATTTGCGTAAACCAAGTACCGCTCTTAATTCAGTATAAGAATTGCTGAATGAAGGTCAAATATATACAAGAAAATGATAATTATAGTTTTGCAGAAATTAATGGACACCATCACTACACCTTTTCAAGATGTAAATGAGAACATGAAAGTTGTAATTAAGAAGTCGTAATATGTAATTAAGAAACACAACATGTAATTGAGAAAACGTTATATGTAATTGAGAAACACAACATGTAAATAAGAAGTCGTAACATGTAATTAAGAAACACAACATGTAATTGAGAAAACGTAAGATATAATTGAGAAAACGTAAGATATAATTGAGAAATCATAATATGTAATTGAGAAATCGTAACTTGTAATTGAGAACACATAAATTAAAATAGCAAATTCACAGCCTAAGTTTGTAGGTTGTTACAAAAGGTCTTTTTGGACATGAATTTAAGTTATAATCTTAAATCTTGCTTTTGTATGCACAAGTAATAATAATGGAATTGAAAGATCGTTGTGTTATATGCCAATACACTATGACCCGAAAGTCTGTAATTAAGCTAAATCCGTGTCAACATTTATGTCACCAAATTTGTTTACGTCCAGTTCTGGAACAACCAGATTCAAGTTGTCCGATTTGTCGGCATGAAATACACACAACTGAACAAGTTGAAAGGAAACGTTACGTTTTATCTTCTCCAAATGACAGGAGAAGAGTTGTTGAATGTGCGGAGCGATTTGAAGATTGGGTGAATCTCGCGCAAACGCTAGGTATCAAATATAAGACAGCATACAATTGGGTTCGCAGCGGAAATTCAAATTTCATCGGAAAAGGAGGTTTTAAACCGAAAAAGTTGACCGAAGATCAAATCGAAGAAACATTAACATGGATTGAAAATGATTGTCAATTAACATTGGTGGCCATTAAAATAAAGATATTAAAACAATTTAAAATAAACGTTAGCACAACAACAATAGCAAATTACCTCGAAGGCAGATTGTTCTCATTAAAAAAAGTGCACAAGGAGCCTTCTACAATGAACAGTTATGAAAACAAACAAAAAAGAGCTGAATATGTTAGAAACATCAACAAACATATCACAAATGGTCGTCAGATAGTTTGGTTGGATGAAACAAATTTTAACCTTTTTTGTAGAAAAACGCAAGGACGCGCGAGACAAGGAAAAAGAGCAATTATGAAAGTACCTGCTTCAAAGGGTTTAAACATACACTTGATCGCAGCTACTTCAACTACAAATGTCGTCATGATAGAAACTCGCAGGGGATCATTTAAAGCAGATTCCTGTAACGAGTGGATGTTGGCTATGTTTCACCAGTGGGTTACATCCGGGAATCGTTTGGAGGATTTGGTCGTCGTAACAGATAATGCTCCTTGTCACGCTCGTTTGCAAAGGGTGTTTGATAATTCACCAGCTCAGTTGTTACGTTTGGGACCTTACAGTCCAATGTTGAACCCGATGGAAACGATCTGGTCCAAAATTAAAAGTAACGTTAAAAATGCAATTCGCATTCCACCTGTATTAGGTGACGGGATTGCGGAACAGCGCATGCAGTACTTAGAACGAATTGTAATTGAGGCGAAAAATACTATAATGGGAGGAGATTGTGCACGTGCGGTACAACGCACAACCACGCACTATGCAACTATTTTAAATATGGAAGACGTACAAGTTGGTGCTTAAATGATCAATGAAGTGATTTTTAATTATATAATTTTTAATAATACTTTTTAATTGAATTATAAATTTTTCCCTAAAATGTTTTTAGTGTTTATTATGTTAAATTCATTTGCCCAAAAATTATAAATTTTTCCCTAAATTTTTCCCTAAAAAATTAAATTTACGCTACAAATCTTGCGTCATTTTTAAGTGCGTCATTTTATACGCTCCATTTTTTTTAAGCGCCGTTTTACACTTACTCTTTTAAAGCGATATCTAAATTAAAATTTTCGTGTTCTCAATTACATCTTTCTATTTCTTAATTACAACTTACATTTTCTCAATTACATGTTACGATTCTTAATTACAATTTTCGTTTTCTAAATTACATCTTATGTTTCTTAATTACAACTTACGTTTTCTCAATTACATCTTACGTTTCTTAATTACAACTTTTGTTTTCTCAATTACATCTTACGATTCTTAACTACATTTTTTGTTTTCTCAATTACATCTTGAAAAGGTGTAGTAATGTACAATTACTTTTTAGAAATAAAGAAAAATTTTGAAGTTAAAAGTATTTTTATACTCTTTAATTTTTTAACTTCAAAAAAAGTTAAAGAAATTTTTAAAAAATAATCATTTTAAATATTTTTTGAAAAGATTTTACTTTCTCATTTTTTTCGATCTTAATGCTTTATGTTGTTTATATTAGTTTAATAGAAGTTTGTAGTAAATCGAGAAACTAATCCCATTTACTGTTTTATCATGAGAATTATATTAGCATATATATTAGTTTGATTTGTGCACAACGCACAAAAACTAAACATACTTTAGTTCGTGGTAATTTGCTAGCAAATTTTTTTTGAAGTTTTTGTGGCCATCTTTTAAATTTTTGTGGCCATCTTTTAAGTTTTTGTGGCCATCTTTTAAGTTTTTGTAGCTTAAGTTTAGGTCTATTAAAAAGTTCATTGATTTTGAAAACAACCAAGTTTTTATCATTTGTAAAGACTTAATAATCAAGATTTGTAGAGTTTTTTTGGAGGATCGCTAAAGTTAATAAGGAACAACAGCGGGTTAAATGTTTATTTGCGGAAAATATATATTTTTTTCGTATAGCTTTGTCTTACTTTACCCGTCGATTATAGAACATTACTGCTTAGTACTAAATTTTACTAAAATTATATTTATTTAAAAAATATATAAATAATTTTGTACGAAATATACTCTGGCTAATGGATCGTCCATAAATGATGTCAGTAAATTTTCCATGTTTTTTGACCTCCCTTTGTCAAACTGAGTCATTTGGCTGTCCTTCCCTTAAAGTTTATGCCAAATTTTTTTACCCCATCCCATAAAATAAAATTAAAAACGTGTATTTACCATTAATTTTTTAAGGTTTTTTTTTATTTTTAAAGGTATTTTTATTAATTTTTATTTTTTAAGCGATTTTTTTTAATCTGCTCATAGATGGCGTAAACTTAGAGTTTTTCTTTTAAAAAAAAAGTACTTAAAATTTACATTATTTTGGTCTCAACACCCCTTCCTCCTAATTTTCAATTAATGTCAGACTTTTCAGCACCTTCTTCTCCCCGTCTATTTACTGATATCCGTTTATACCCGTTTTGCTTAACTTAAACAAAGAGTTTTTTAACATTGTTCTTGATTGAATTTTTGAATTTGTAATTAATTTTTAGTAAATATTAAAAAATCCGATTAAAAAGCATATATTGTTTAAATAAAAACTGAATAAAATAGTTACTTTACAACTTCGAACTTTGCAATTACTATTGGTGATAATAAAGTGAAACACGAACCATTCGGACAGTTAGTTTTACGTCACGTTTTACGAGACTCGTCATTAAAAAGCGAAAATTATTTGTTTAGCTAATTAAAAATTATATATTGTATTTATTATCTGGAAGACTTAAGTTATGAGTATTACAAAAGTATTTTACTTGTATAAAGTTTAATGGATCCCCCAGAAGTAGACAGGTATGGGTTACATAAAATGATAATTTATTGTTATTATATTTTAAACAATTACAAGAATAAATTGTTATAATTTTAAATTAAAAATTATTGCTGACTATGTATGTGCTTCATTATTTTTTTGATAATTACATTATTTTAATAACTATTGTCTGTCTGCGTGTAAAAAATTTTTTATCACTATTTAAAAAAAAATTATTTTGCAAATATAGAAACTTTAGTTGAATGTAATCTGTTTTAAAAATTGACCCAAATATAATATATTAAATATACAGTAATACTATTTGCTTTGATACAAAAACTATAAGTGTAGGGGTGCCGAGCACACTATCTCTCAGATCAGCAAATGGTTAAAATGTTAAAAGTATAAAAGGTTAAATGTACAGTTGCAAAAAAAAAGAACGTTTTTTTTAATCTGTGGTTGTTTTTTTTTGTGCCAAAAAAAAAATATGTTTCTTTTTACACAAAAAAAATCTCTCCCAGATTTTTTTTGTGTAAAATGATAATGAAGTTTTTCTTTCTTAATGAAGTTTTAATGAAATTTTTCCCGGGCCCTGCAAATTTAGGGGCCCCCAAAAATTTTAGAGGCCTTTTTTTTTTTTCGTTTTTGTTTTTAGTCATTTTTAGGCTCTGGCCCATAAAAAGGCCTCCAAAAACAAAAATAGCCCTGGGCCCCAAGAAGTCTTAATCTGCCACTGCCCCTGTGCCATGGCACACCCTAATTTTGTCTAAATTTGGGCCTGTATTTTAAATTAAAATCTAGTTTGCAAGTTTTTCCATCTTGTTGGTGGAAGCCATAAATTTTAATTAGCAGTATTTGATACTATTTGAGCATTTGAAATTTGTCAAACTTCCAGTCCCCCTCCATCTAAAAAACTATCATCATTTGGCTACTTTTCTCCCTCTAATTATTAAAAATAAAATCAAAGAAAACTTCCTTTTTTTCTATTTTTTAAGTAATTTCATTTATTTAAAAAGTAAAATTATTAGAGTATTGTCATATTTGTTAATGCCCCATCACCCCTATTTTGTTGACATAATTAATGGACATACCCTTATCATGTTTAAAATTTAATACAGTAGTATTATAAAAGAGTAAATTTACAAAATATACTTTTTCTTATATTTCACAGTGTTTTTTTAAAATTGAATGTAAATGGTTATGGCTAATATATAGGGTAGTATACCTTACATTAAATTAAAAAAACACATCTATATTTGAAGTTTTATTGGAGAGAACTGTTTCAGGGTTCATTAATATCTAAAATTTAAAGAATACTTAAAAAAACCCATAAAAACATGTTTTTAGGCGTATTGTCCATGTTCCACTGGTAAAAAATGCCATGTATTGAATTATTTACAATGTGCAAGTTTGAAACTGTTTGGGCTATCTCTATTTATAGATAATAAAAAATTGTGACATGTCTGTGCAAGTTCAGTTTGCATAAGACTGTTGTAGCGGTTGTGTGTGTATGATTTTTCTTTTTTTTTTTTTGGTTTTTTTCTGGTTGCCCTGTAGGTGACTGATACAAAGAAAATAGATTTTATTTCTTCTTAGTCGCCCGCCATGATAACCAGTAGTCCGGTATAATAATATTTTTTTGGTATTTTTTCTTGGGTAAAAATACTGAGAAAAAAAAAAAAATTAAACATCTGACTACTAAAATACGTCTAATAAGAAATGGTTTAATTATATGTAAATTAATTTAAAAAAAAATGATATAAGCTATTAAAAAATATTGTTAAGTAACTTTAGTTACAAAGAGATATTTGTCAAGAGATAACTTTTAAAGATTGTCATTTTTGTTGTAATTTTGTCAGAATACCTAATACCAGATTGTAATGAAAAAAACCCCGCATAAAAACAAATTACATAAAACTATTTTTTTTTTTAAATTTTTATTAAAAAAAATAGTTGGCATATTTAATACTTAAGGTAGTAAGTTATTATAAAAATATTTTCATTGTTTGATGAAAGAAAATAATTGTGAGTTGCTCATAAAATATACAAAATTTTCAAAAATTTGTATATTCTATGAGGAATTTTTTTGACAGTGCAGTGTACATAGTGAATGGCTTTTCAAAAAAGCCATTCACTATAAAAAAATTCTATTAAGTTCCGTTACAATGATGTTATGCACTTGCTGGCCACAAGGGTTTGATTTCTAATTTAACCTAACAATTTCATGTAAAAACTAATTTAAAGGGATCACCAAGTCCCGAAACATGTTGTGTTCATATTAAAGAGAATGTTAAAAAAAATGTCTGAGCAATTTTTTTTTTGATTAAAACTAATTAATAAATGTATACCAAGAAAAACAAATCATGTTGTTTTAGTCGAAGCTTCTTCTCCATTTTCTGCGGTATTTGGAGTCTTTAAAATAAACGTGATTTTCCAGGTGCATTATACAGACTTGATAATTTATTCAAGTGCGTTTAATTCATAGGAGTTTTAAAACATAACATCATTGGAAACATTCTAAAAATTCTTTAAAAATTTTACTATTAAATTTTAGTAAAATAGCTAACTATTGATAGTTATTTTATTTTCTAAAATTTTCACATTGAAAAATATTTTATGTTTTTTTGTAGCTATCAGAGCCGTGGCTACATGGGCCACGGCGATGGTGGACCTAGGGACCCCTATGGTACATAATCGGGTTGTATAATATCTCCGATGATTCACGAGTATGTTCTTTACATTTTGATGCAAGTTGTTTTGGCAAATCTAACTTACAATTAATTAAACCAAACACTAGGCAGAGTTATAAAATATAAGAATATACTAATAAAATCTTTAATTTGTAATTAACTTTCAAAATTTTGACAATTTAAAAAATATATATTATAAAACATTTATTTTTGTAAACAAATGATAATAGCTTAAAAGATTTATGGCTTTGCAGATGTGGCTCCGAGAATGAGCCATAATATTAAAGTAATAGTTCCTTTTATAATATATTCTTAGAACAATTTATGCTTGATATTTCAAAATGCAACAAATCGTGAATTGTTAAAACATTTCAACAGAATACTCTAGAACTTTATTTCACTTAGTCAGCGTATTTTTTGAACCAATAGAATTAGTTTGTTCATAAATTTGGCGGGTTTTATGTGTTCGCGGATATTCTTTTTATTCTTCCGCAAGATGTTTTAAAAACGTTCAAGTTTATTATGTTTCCATGGATGTCCGTAAAACAAATTATTCTTGTAAAACAAATTATTCAAATAAATCTTGGTATTTTTGTTACATACATAAACTTAAATGTTCTCAAAACGACTAAAAATATATTATATATATTTTTAGTCATTTTGAGAATATTTAAGTTTATGTACGCCATTATATATATTGGATGTTATAATAATGAAAATATAAATAATTAAATAAGATCACCTCAATACCAAAAAATACATTTTTGAAAATCAGGGAAAATATGCGTAAATATATATATATTTTTTTATAACTTAATAAAAAATTAAGTAAATTAATAAAAGTGCACTTTTAAGGTTGAAAATTATTTTAATATTTTGAAAGAAAAACTTATAACAAAAGAAATCAAAATACATGGTCTAGACGATTATTTAAAAAAAGTTGCGCAAATAAAATACTATTTTGTTTTTAATTTTTTTATAAACACATTTTAGAACTTTAAAATATAATAAAAATGAATATGATTTGGAAAGTGTATGTAAAAAATAATAATCGGTGTTTTGAACAAACAAAAAAAAATCTATGACGTCATGTACTAAAACTCCTATGAATTAAACGCACTTGAATAAATTATCAAGTCTGTATAATGTGCCTGGAAAACTGCGTTTATTTAGTCACGAAGACAAGCTTCGACTAAAACAACAAGATTTTTTTTCTTGGTATACATTTATTAATTAGTTATAATCAAAAAAATTTGCTCAGACGTTTTTTTTTTAACATTCTTTTTAACATGAACATAACATGTCTCGGGACTTAGGGGTCCTTTTAATTTGCAATCAAAAAATTTTTTTTCTACATCTTCGTATGTTTGCATTTTTTTTTTCTAAATATTTGTTTGATCATTTTCATTTAAATTACTTTTCTCACGAAGTGGAGATGAATTATCACATGTGCTACTTGGCACCTGTAAAAGTTCATCGGTGTCAAGCAGCTATTCACTGTGAAAGATTAACTCTTCACTAAATTAATTTTTTTCAGAACTTTTCAAGTTTTTTCAAGTCTTATCAGAAAGCGTGTGCGGTTACACACCTTGTTTGTCCATGATTAAAGTAATTTTTTTAGACACACTGACCACAGCAGTTCGCATCTTTTAACTTATAAAGCGTTACAATAATTTGCAGAAAAAAGCTAAACTTAACTATTGAGAAAAAAAAAATTTTGAAAAAAAAAAAAGAAACAAAATTGTAACAAAATTTAAAGTTAAATTAAAAAAACTAAAAAATTTAATAATTGTAAAAAAAAATAAGTAAGGATTTTTTTTTTTTATAAAATTTTTATACAACTTTTGTATTTTTTTTTAGAGTCATTGTTGAAAAAACTTTATCTTTTATAACCACAATTGAAAGCACGCTCTTCTCGAAAAGGCTTGTTTTTGTTGTTTTGCTTGTTGTGTTTTAACTCACCACTTGAAATTATTTTTAAAAACATACATTATTTAAAAAAGGTTACCATATAATTGACATTCTCATTAAAGGTAAAGCATAAGTTGAACTTAAAGATCAGTTTATAGTGAAGATATAATTTTTAATAAGTTAAGAGTTCTTTGTGCTATATCTATCAATAGCAACTTCTCAAATTACTTCAGAAACGCAAGATATACCTAAACTAGTTATTTTTGTAACCTTTTTAAAAGGTTTGAAGAGTATGATACTTTTATATAACTATAGTTAAAACAATTTGATGTCAACATTATAATGCGTGCCATGACACGGCCTATGAAACATAAATGCACACAGTCTAGTTAACGTAAACACTTTAATGAAGCAGATCGGAACCTTTGAAGTTAACTAAA